AATCGGGATGGGTGTGTCAGAGGCAGTGCGATTGGCACGGGATAGAGCAGGGTTTAAGGCTGTTGTGCACAGGGTCGCAATGAGTCGCAAATGACTTGACGGCTCATAACAAGAACAAACAGCCCATGGTATAAAAGGATGAGAAATACAGCTGGAAATACACAAACACAAGAGGGTAAAATTGATGAATGAGACCTTCTAAAGATTAAATCCCTCCTGGACGTATTAAAAACATCTTGCAACAGAGTGAAAAGAAAACCTCTTGACTGGGAAAAAAACATCTGGTAATACTACGTTGGCCTAGTGGACAGAAAGTGTTGCTAACAAGCCCAAGGTGGGTGATTTTAGTCTACGGCCCTCAGGCCTAGTTTAAATTGTTTTTTGTCAAACATTCTTCTAATGGTGTAGCACTGATCTGTGCATTCCTGTACAGAGGTAACTCGTGGCTGCTGTGATGCTAAACACTGTGACACTGATGTGTCAAATGCGATAATGGTCACCCATGGTGGACAGTGTTTGGTGGAGCTCCCAATTAAAACAAGCTGGGAAGCAGGAGTGGCATCCACTTCCAAAATAGCTTGTCTCCAGAAACTCTATGAACAGTGCTCGGGCCTCTTGTTCATAGGGTAGCTATGAGTCATCTACAACTCCACGGCACTTAATAACAACAATACTATTTCAGACAAAGGTCTCTTATCAAAAGTTTACAGAATTCTGCAAGGCCTCTGCAAGAACAAGACTGATCACATAATTAAAAAATGTGTGCCCCTCACCCACGGTGCACCCCTCATCACACGGGGTGCCCCAAACCCACGGTGCACCCCTCATCACACGGGGTGCCCCAAACCCACGGTGCGCCCCCATCACACGGTGTGCCCCTGACCCACGGTGCGCCTCTATCACACGGTGCGCCCCTCATCACACAGTGCGCCCCTCACCCACGGCGCGCCCCCTCATCACACGGTGCGCCCCTCACCCACGGTATTCCCATTACTACCCAGCACCTCCCTCACCATACAGGGTCCTCACCACACGGTTTTCTCCTCTTCACACCGTGTTCGGCTCACTCGTGTCCTACTTACCATGTTCTTCCTTCTTGTACAGCATCCCTGTACCCTTCGCTACACGGGCCTTGGTGCAGATTCCACCCTCTGACCCAGTGTCCCTGCACCGAGACCTCACAGGAGGCAGAGCTGTCACCATGGTGGGGCAGCAGCGGCAGGATTTCAGATCACAGAGTCCCACGCAGGACACAGGGAGTGTATCCTGACCCCCAGGGCGGCGTGGGTCCAGGGGGCAGTCAGAGAGCAGGCCTGCCCGGCTGGGGGACAGCAAGGCAGGAAGGGGTGAGCTTCAAGCAGGACACAGGGAGTGTATCCTGACCCCCAGGGCAGCGTGGGTCCAGGGGGCAGTCAGAGAGCAGGCCTGCCCGGCTGGGGGACAGCAAGGCAGGAAGGGGTGAGCTTTTGGCAGGAAACAAGGGAAGATGAACGCTTCACTCTTGGGGACCCTTTAAGGTCTCTCCTGTGTGTTTCTTCCAAGTTAACCTGGACCCTACACAGCCTCGCGAATAAACTCTTCATGCTTTGAAGGTAGAGAGGGTCGGCGATGGAGGGGAAGACCCTCAACCAGGTGGGTTGACACAGTGACTGATGCAATGGCTCCGACGGCTAGGACACACAGGACAGTACAGGGTTCAGGTCGGTCCACAGGGTCGCTATGGGCCGTACTTGACCTGATGGACAGAATCTAACAATAATAAACCATTTAACTGCAGGTATGGTCTTTGAGTTCTGTGCAGCCATTCCGATGAGTTATTAAATCATGAAGAGGAGTGTATTTTGGAGAGGACAGTTGATGTTAAATCGGTAAAATGTTTGGGACTAGAGTGTGACCTTCACTTCATAGAGATCAGCTTTGGGTTAATGCTGGTGTGGGCTCTCATTTTCTCTGACATCGACACAAGCTCTGACACTAGGACTCTTGCATTGCACTGAATGCGTGGACCGGTGCATTGATGGAAGTGACGGATGGGTACACGGGAAGACATGAGTGCACAGACGGATGAGCGGACGGACGGATGGACGTATACAGATGAGTGGCCGGAGTGTGGATGGCTGGGCAGGGTAAGAGTGCAGACGATCTGAACATGAATGAACCGATGGCTGGAGGGACCGAGGAGTGGACTGGAGGAGGGCGGACTAATGGACGCAATGATGGAGAGGTGGGAGGGTCTTGGACAGAAGAGCAGGCACTCGAAGAGAGAATGCAGCTTGGAGGACGCACGGATGGCTGAATAGATGGAGGGGTGGACAGATGTGTAAATAAATAGATGGGGGTGGACAGATGTGTAAATAAACAGATGGAGGGGTGGACAGATGTGTAAATAGATGGAGGGGTGGACAGATGTGTAAATAAACAGATGGGGGTGGACAGATGTGTAAATAAACAGATGGGG